AAAAAAAAAAAAAAAAAATTACTCCTACAATCTAACCTTTCATAGTTCCTTGGTAAGTCACACACATACTTTATCTCAGTCCTGTGGCCTTTGAACGTTATCAAAGGAGCAGTATCTCAATTTACAGACAAAACAATTCAACAAGCAACTGGTTTACACAGATTGCTCTTATGCTTAACCACTGGTGCCAGGATTTGATTGTTCTTTTGCCTCAATCCTATTTTACACTCCATGTATACAAGGGAAGTCGCTTGTATTCCAAAATTCAATGTCCTTGTTTCTTCTCTGGAAATTCATAGGTTACCCATTCCTTCCATCCTCCAGCATACTGTTGGGCACTGAAAACATAAATAGTGCAATCAGTATTTTCTCTCCTGTGTTAAAATAGGGTTGGTAGGAATTCTCGAGATAAATAATGCAATATTGCTAGCTACTGATATTTAAAGTAGGGGCTTATTTAAAAGACTGAGTTACTTGTGAATAAGATGGAAAGATGTAGGTTCTTAATCTCTCTTTTGTGTCTTTACTAACAGTAATTAAACATATTTTTCCTTTTTTTTTCTTTTTGTGGTGGTGGGGGTTGAACCTAGAGCCTCTGCATACTAAACCAACACTCTTCTACTGAACTACATCATCAATGACTAAAGTATTTGTCTAAATGAATGCGTATGAAACATTGTGATACACATTCCTGGATCCAGATTTGCCTTCATCTACACACCTGCTGAAGCCTAGAGATATTGCTGTGTCCATAGCCTTTTTGCTTCTCACTCCAGCTTGACAAGAAAACACGATACTGTCAGATTTGGATGGCTTTACTTCATGATACTTCTCTTCGAAATCTTTTGGGTTCATCTGCAGAGCTTGGCCTACTTCACTCACTAAAGGAAAATTTCAAAAGTCTCAATTAAATTTTGGACACAATAAGTTACTGAGTATTTAATGAATGGGTTTAAGGCATGTTACTTACATGGTATATTAATAGACCCAGGGATTTTACCATGTTGGAGAATTTCCCATGTCTCTCTAACATCAATTAACATAATGTTTCCAGAAGTTAACAGGTTTTTTAGTTCCTTGTAAGTGATATGCTTAGGAACAGCAGTACAAACATTATGGCAGCTTCCCTGTATTGACTTTAAATCTGGGGGGGGGGGGGGGGGAAGAGTGGAAAGAAAAACAATTTAGTCAGTTTAAAAGTGCCATCATGCTGGGTGGCTCACATCTGTAATCATAGCTACTCAGGAGGCTGAGATCTGAGGATCACAGCCAGCCAGCCGGGGCAGGAAAAATCCATGAGACTCTTATTTCCAATTCACCACAAGAAAACCGGAAGTGGAACTGTGTCTCTAGTGGTTGAGCACTTGCCTTGAACTGAAGAGCTCAGGGACAGCGCTCAGGCCTAGAGTTCAAGCCCCACTACCGACCAAGAATAAAGTGCTGGATGCCAGTGTCTCACACATGTCATCCTAGCTGCTCAGGAGGCTGAGATCTGGGAATCATGGTTATAAAGTCCCTGAGACTTTTTTTTTTT